AGGAGAGAACACTGCAGAGGCGGCAGACGTGGGTGCGGTGGGCTTGTGGAAGTTCGGAGGGAGAACCCGAGACCCTCCCTGGTTTAGAGCCGGACAGACCGAGCCTCGGCCCCCGGGTCTCCATTTATGAGCCGTGCCACTCTGGCCACGTGTAAAATCAAATGAGAAGGCCGCCCATGCTCAGTGGCAAGAAAAATATCCGGGAGAGAACACTGCAGAGGCGGCAGACGTGGGTGCAGTGGGCTTGTGGAAGTTAGGAGGGAGAACCCGCGACCCTCCCTGGTTTAGAGCCGGACAGACCGAGCCTCGGCCCCCGGGTCTCCATTTATGAGCCGTGCCACTCTGGCCACGTGTAAAATCAAATGAGAAGGCCGCCCATGCCGCGCTGTCCCAAGGCACGACCAAGTCCGTGGGCACGAGTGGCTCATACGCTGGGACGCTCTCTGCCTGTGTCAGCATCGGTAACATTTTAATCATCAACATGTTGGCTGAGCTAAGAGGCCTGGGTGTGAGCTCACAGGCCTTTGGAGCCAAAAGCAGTGATGGGAGCCTCCATCTTCCTTGAGGAGGAGGGCCTGAGAGAGCGAGGCTCTCACCTGGTGCCTCCCTCCACCAGAGCATCACCGGGGCCGCCAGGTGCTCGCCCGGGTGTCGCACAGGTGCACGCGTCTCAGGCTGGGTGCCCAGGCCCGGGTCCCCGAGCTGCAGACATCCACGGGGCTGACACTGATCACCGAGTTTTGGTGTCAACCCAGGTCATGAAAAGCACTCTCTGCCTGTAGTGCGGCTACTCCCCAAAGGCAAAGAGCTGCTTTTATGGTTCCTAAAGTGAAATCCACTGAAGAGCATTTCTTGTGTGCACAGCAGCCGGGGGTCATTCTGGCATCTCAGTTTACAGACAGACATAAAAACAACCGCCGCCTGCTCAAGGGAGGGTGACTTTTTTTTTCTTGCTGTTAAAAAGGGGCCTTTTTTTTTTTTTTTTTTTTTTTTTACCAGGGGACAGGAAGGCAAAATGCCCATTTATCTGTTTTCTCCTTAGCTGAAAACGGCTGGATGGGCTTTTTGAAAATATATATATTTTTATTGATTTCAGAGAGGGGAAGGGAGCAGGAGAGAGAGAGAGATAGAAATATCAATGATGAGAGAGAATCATGGATCAGCTGCCTCCTGCACGCCCCCTACTGGGGATTGAGCCCACAACCTGGGCATGGGTCCTGACCAAGAATTGAACCGTGACCTCCTGGTTCTTAGGCCAACGCTCAACCACCGAGCCACGCCGGCCAGGTGCCTGGATGGACTTTTATCGAATATGCAGGGTAAATGTGGAGGAATTTGAAATAAGCCATGTGGCATTCACAAAATTTACCTCCTGGGGAACACAGAAGCTGAAACTGTTACAAGGGGAGAGGGACAGCCACTGTGGGGACCTGGGATGTGTGTCTTAAGAAACTGAGGTCAGCCCTAGCCGGTTTGGCTCAGTGGATAGAGTGTCGGCCTGCGGACTGAAGGGTCCCAGGTTCGAGTCTGGTCAAGGGCATGTACCTTGGCTGTGGGCACATCCCCAGTGGCGGGTGTACAGGAGGCAGCTGATCAATGTTTCTCTCTCATCGATGTTTCTAACTCTCTATCACTCTCCCTTCCTCTCTGTAAAAAATCAATAAAA